CTTATTTTAATCATATCTATTGGTTTTATATGGTACAAAACAAAAAAAATATACATTATTTATATAATATATTTAATATATCATCAACCCATAACAAATAATAGTCACAACTTGATTGAAAAATTGAACAAATTGAAACCAAGGAACTTATTATTTTCTTTCACGTGTACAACATTGATTGACCAATAGAAAATTAATAATATTGTGATTAAAATATTAAATGTATATATAAATTATTAATGTTACATTTTAGCTCTTTCCAATAGAAAATAGGTAAAATATACGTAGAAGTCATGAAGTTGTTTTACTCAAAAATATAATAAATACTGTCAGTAAATAACAATTTATAAAACTGTTTGATGTGTTTGAAAATATTGAACGGAAATTATTGGTTATAAAAAACATTTTTATGATCGAGTTACCACGAAAAACTCGTGTTTTGATCATACGTCGTGTCGAGCTAATACCAACTGTAAAGTATAACATAGGGAGCAAAATGGTTTGTACTAAAAATGAGTGAACACATTAAACGGCCCAGAGGATAGTTAAAGCATAAATACATATGAAACAAGCTATTTTGTTGGTATCATAAACGAACCGAATTTGGTGAATGGAAATTTCGAGTAACCACTCCACCGCGCTCGTCGTTGTTTTCAAAAATATTTATTCGCTTTTCTTTCTTTCTATTATTTTGTTCACATCGAAGAACATTCTCTCTCTCTCTCTCTCTCTCTCTCCTCTCCCCCTATCCCTCTGCCCATCAGACCTTCTATTTCTCTCTACATATCTCTCCACCCACACTCATCTCACTCTCCGTCTTTTATTTTTAAGCTTCATGCACCTTTAATATTAGCCGCATATTCGAGCTTGGTGCAAAAGACTCGCATGTATATTTCATCTCGTCAGGAAAAAAAAATCGCTCATATACAATAATATAATATAGTATATACGTATACCGATATGCGTGTGAGTATGCATTTGGGGTGGCGGCGTACCGAGTATTTCCTTCGATCCTTTACTACCCATGAGACGCCCGTTGTATGCGTTTGTGCGTGAGCGTGTGTGTGGTTTGCGTGTAGTCGTATACGGGAGAGACCTTATTCCTTTCACCTTTCCTTCGATCGTTCCTCCCTTTCACTCCGAACCAATGTCGAGCCGATTTAAATTTGTAATTTATTATGGCTCCGAATTCCTATGAGACCAAATTATCCACTGCCTCTCGACAATCGGTCGATGTAATTTATAAAAGTTTCATAGTACGCCGCCGCCGCACCGCGTAAAAAATACATATACATTACTTACCTATATATTTTATATTTTTTACATGACTACGTTCTCTATGTTTTATATATATATATATTTTTTTACCCTACACACAAAATTCCCTTCTAATATCTGCGGTTTATCGGTATACATTAACAATATACCATAGTTATTTCACGTAATTAATTAAGAACACCAGCTCTGCCCCAGCGCTATAAGCATGCATTTCGTGCAGCCATTGCATGCATAATTTTCTGAGTCCCCGAACTATAGGTCAGGCGATCAAAACCACTCACTTCTACACCATCCTTCTAAGAAAAATAATTTTTCCAATATTACCAGTTGTGAGGGATCGATTAGGAATATGCAAATTCCTGTAAATGTAAATGTAACAATATAATATCTAGTACCTATAAGTTATAACTATACCTATATAATATATTGTATAGGTACGTAACAGAATATTGGACGATTAATAAACAATTAACTTTGGTCCATTAGTCTTAGCCTCAAATATTTGTGTTGGTGATTTATATAGGTAGGTATTTCAAAATATAATTTATAATATAAATATGATCTCAAAGTTATTTTATGCAATTAAAAATTCAACTCATTACAATTTACTATTTAGAACCTATTGAAAGCTGTCCACAAAGTTAAAACTATATAGAAATATTTTGTGACGAAAATGTATTTTATCATGGCCTATAGATTTAAAAATAAATTCAAACACTAAAACTAATGCGAATTATAACAACCGTCAAATCCTGTAGTTACCTTAGGTACGTCTCGGCGAAACAAGTATCGAATTACAATGCAATATTATGTGTTTCTATAATATTGTATACTTGTATATAATGCATGATAACTTGATGCACTTAACATTTAATATTAACACTTCAACAACACAACACTAGCCTTATCATTTTACATAGAAAAATCTCACTTCCAAAACAACACCTAAAAATTATAATTTTATGTTTTTTTAAATAAATAGGTACTAACATTCGTAACTTGTTTTAAATACAACTTTAAAAACTCAAAACTCTTTTGTAGACATTATTTTTGTTTTATTCTTTCGAGCATTTATAAGTATTACAATTTAAACTGCACTAAACTTTATCCATTTTATGATAGTTTTATTACTATTTATTTTTTTTAGACAACCTATTCATGATGACATACACACATATTACATGATGATTTATAAATGAATAACTTATAAATGACTATAATAATAAGCTAATAGCAAATTATTACAATCAATTAATGATATTTTCATTTCAAAACTGTAATATTTAGATACCTTGCAAGAAATACAATTCTATAATTAATCTATTGCCGTTTTCGATAAAATATATTGATCATTAATATCACATTTAATAATATTATATAATATTCTACTGTAAGCTAAACACTTTTAAAGCATGAAAATAAAACAAATATTATAATATATATTTGAATACAAATAACGTCCCAAATTATTATTAAAAAATCTCTGGTAAGTTAATGAAAAATAAATGTAATTAAAAATTAACCAATACCTAATATATATCTAAATATCAGTTTTAGTAATTTAAATAGTTATACCTAAATTGTTTTTTGTTTTTATTTTAATGAGCTTAACGTTCAAGTGTTATGTTTTTATGAAAAATTCCAAACAAATAAACATTAAAATTCGACTCCTCCTCACACCAGCTAAATAGTTATAGATAATATAATATAATAATACGTATGTAATACGTATATAGTAGGTACAAAGTTGTGATTTATGATACTTAAAAACTTTAGTCCGCGATATGTTCTTCTGTTCAAAATGTTACCGAAACTTAACCGTTAGGATATAAAGTCTACTCGAATACATGAAATGGATATTAAGGAAATTGACTCCAAATGTTAAGAATTAAAATAAACTTTATTAGTAAGTACAACCATTCAATTTATTTTGTTATCATATAAAATGTACCTATTAAATTAAAATATAGTTAAGAATTGAGTACTAGGACTAAACTATTAAAATATAAGTTTAAGTATGGTATAAACATCACGTTTTAACCATTAACCACCACTCTTTAAATTCTTTAAAACATAGTTAAACTTTTTAATTTTTATTATAACTTACATTTTAAAAGCACACATTATATATTCCTAAATGTATTTTTTGCCATTAATATCGTTTTATAATTAATAATTTTCATCATAACTACGTAGGTATTAAAAACACATATAATAGTTTTTAGTAATTACTTATTATTTTTTTTTACCTTAACTCAATTCTGATATTTATATCCAATTTATAAGACCAATTTTATTTACGTTAATATTTTAAAGGTTTAATTTTTATTTTCTATTAAGTATTCAAAAGGAAATTTAAATCTTAATACATATAATAATATTATATTTTATTAATATATTTTGTTTGAACATTTTTCAACAAAATTTCATTTGAAAATTTACATAATTCTTACAATGTTACCAAAGTAAGTTTATCCTGCAAATGTATTCACTATGTATTATTTACCCTCCAGTAAACTTATTGTTTGATTCATTATAATATTATACTATTATACACAAAGCAATTTTTTTCACAGTCATAACCTACACTTTGAGTTTTAAGAACTTATTATAATTATTTGTTTCACCGAATGCTGGAAAATGGCATAAACGTATACAAAATAATAGCGTACAAGCTACCAGCCTGTAAAAAAAGCTGTCAATCAAACATTTTCGAAAAACCACGCGATTTCATTATACTTAAATACTTTACGCAGGACAATCTATATAATATGACTAATGTAAAAAATGGTACTTATACAGTTATACACACGTGCCATGAAAAATACTAAATAGTGTAATACTTAACACATCAATGTGATTTGTTTTACTCTAGAGGAACGCGAGAAACAAGTAAATAGTGTGAAGTTGAACGATAGGTGAAGCGTAGGCTCTCAGAATAATATTATATATTTTTTTTAAATAATAATAATAAATACAGAATATCAAATGAGTATGATGTTTAATTTATCCGTCGAGTTATACAGGATGTAACAAGAAAACCTGACAAATGAAATAACTTTTGTTCTAATCAATATGTTTTTTTAATTTTTTTAAATATTATTTATCGAATTTATCGACTAATAGCGTTACACGTATAATATACGTTTTTTTTATTTATAATTGTAATACTGAAAATAAAAAAATAAAATAAATCTGATTTAAACATTTAAACATTTCAATATACCTAGCCAATTTGTAAATCTGGGGTTTAGAAAACTTTTCATTGTAAAAACGTTTATCTAAGTCAAGTGGTTTATTTTTTATAATTTTTGTAGAGTTGATAAATACTGTAGAAAAAAAAATCTTCTGGTAAATATTTCATTAAGACTGTTTCCGAGCAAAATGGAAATTAATCATCACATACTTGTATCATATTACCTTAATAATTAGTTTCTGATATTATATCACATTATCACACGTGCCAAGCTCTCCTTACGCTAGGTTCCATTCGTGACAAAATAACTACCTATACAATGATCTATAAGAGTATAAGACGGTATCACTCGTAAAATATTTTGAACTTCTGGTGTTTCATAATAAGATATTAGACATTTTTTTTTTTTTTTAATTTTGTTTTCTCTTCTTCGTTCTCCTGATGAAATATATTGCAATTTGCTGAGGACGTCGCGTTATATCTCTGTATTACTAACTCGTAACATAATATAAAATTGTTATCCAACATGTTTACGATACTCCCTGCATGTCAAGTCGCTCAAAATGAAGTTCGTATTTCTTATTGCCACGGCGGCGTCGCGTTACAACAAGTCGTCAGTTGTGTTTCATTGCTTCCAGAACCACGCCAAGGTACGAACTACATTTCAGGCAATGGGCGAAATGACCAAGCAGTAACGCTAATAATAACTATCGCTATAATAAAAAATACCTCTTGCAGACGTAATTACATTTTAGAAACTTGTCAGTGGATGATTTCTGTCATCGGGAAGTTTTGTTCGGAGATATTTTGACTGGTAGTCGTTACGCCTAATGAAGTGTCCGAAGTCGTTTATGCAGTAGGCTGTATACGCAGTGTTGGGATCTATATTAATTTGAACCGTCGCAAAATGGCGGCGGTGGTAGTGTATTGCCGAGAGGCCATTAATCAAAGCGCTCCAATCGGTTTGGTTTGCGTCAATCAATTTCGAAACTCTCTAGGCAGAGCGTAAAATCTAAGCTTGGTATTAATAATTTTTTATGGAGTGGAATCTCTCCGGTTTGTTGTTTCACTGGTATTGATAACAATAGAAATAAAACTGCCGTCGGTTTTAAATATATATATATACTTATTACTTATATTACACTTATTAAACTTCTATTATATAAAATATAGAGGCCAGCTTATGCAGATTGTTGTTTGAGAACCTCTAGCTATTGGTAAATAGTGAATTGTTTTTACATGCAGTTTTTTAACCATATTTCGACGTAAATTTCGCCGGCATGTTAAAACCTAAATATTTAAGATTTACCATTTAACATGCTTTGTATATTATATCGTGTTAAAATATTATGGTAAAAAGAAAAAATAGGTACCTAACTCTAGTAAAAAAAATTTACTTTTATTTTTCATATAATTTAAAAAATTTAAATCACCAATTTGAAGGTCCATAATTTTGAGTCTTTAAATAATTTTGTTTAATTTAAATCCTAAGGTAAACGCTCTTTTCTAAAAATCGCTATCACTACAAAAACATAATAGGTTCTGGTCTAAAAATACCTGATTCAGTCATTAGTTTCTAATAATGATTCATGACAATGATTAGCTATGAAGTTCAAATTGTATTCAAAAACATAGTATAGATACCTAATTCATATATTTTATAGTTCATTAGTCATTACTATTTGAATTTTAAATGAAAATAAACAATTTAACTCAAATATATTTTAGAAAAATAAGCCATTGAAATTGCCTCTTGAGAGTCGTTAAATAAACCAATTTGCGTTGAACCATTATTTGTGATGACAAATATGATGATTAATGTCTAATATATGTTATACATCAAATATAGGTTACACCAATACTGCGGAGATATTAAAAATTTAGATATATAGAAGTCCAATTGTCCAAAACTTTCAAATTATCGAACAAAACCCAAATAATAAGATAACCTTAATAAAAACAATTAGGCATTTGAATGACAGAATCACGAGAGGAACGAGCGAACGCAAAAAGTTTTGACGAAATGTACAAACAATAGTGAAATTCAACAAGAGTGCCATGGTATATTATATACCTACCAACTTGTAGCCATTATATAGCCATATTTTTACACAATACTAATTTTCGGCTGGTAAAAAAATATTTAGTTTTCTGATATTTAAACTGGAAAGCATTCGATAATCTTTAGTTTGATGCCTAAACACGCACTCAGGATTTTTTTTGGGGGGTTTGGGGATTACAATTTTTCTAATTTTCTCTACACACAAAATATACACAATAACCAAACACTAATTTTTTAGTGTACAACTATTAATGTGTATCTAAAGTTATTCTAAACATAATAATCAATTTTAAAAAACATTTTCATCCATCATTGCAATGTACTGCTATTTGTGCCAAAAAAATATCGTATTATAATGTATATTCTAATACAAAAAAATTTTTTATTTTTTATTTTTGAAGGGGGGGGGGGTCTATAGCCCTCTGTGCGCCACTGGATGTCTATATTGGATATGTGTTATCTGCTAGAAAAAAAATAGAAATTACCTTGTGAGATACTATCATAAAATAATGTTAATTTGCATAATATCAACCATTACGTTAAAAAGATCTAATTTTTCGTTTTAATCACTGCCGCATTAGTGCATTAGGTATATGAATTCGATATGGCGGTATATAGGGGGGCGTATATGGCATTATAATGACGTAATTAATAAACAGACAGATATTCCAAAATTGGTGAAAATCAAAGATTGCCCACTCACACATACACATCATTTCATTGAGCATGTATAGTGTGGTTAGCACTTGACGAGCAATTTACTTCGCGATAATATTTATATTACATTCGCGCGTATGATATAATATTTCACGTCTTACGATTTTTCTTGTAATTTTTCAGGTCTTGTGGTATAGAGACACGTTGCAGTTGGACATGACCGAATGGCGGATTACCGACGTCAGAGGAAACCGATACACTTTACGCTTGAGAAAAGTGCAAAAGACCGATTTTGGCAATTATTCTTGTGTGGCCGATAATGGACTTGGCAAAAGCAAACGATCCATCGAAGTGACTGGTAAATATAACTCATAATGAAATCGTATTAAATCGTAAACGTCCAAATATAGTTTATTACACGTACATTGTTAATACATAAACGATTGGCTTTTAATGAATATCCGAAAACTCTTTTATATTTTACTTAGTACTATCTCAATTGAAATGTTTTATTTATTATTTTTCAGATATTTGAATTAATGAATATTTATTTTTAATGAAATTACGATTCTGATTAGATTATCTCGGTGACTCAAATATAGAATAAGATTTAATTTATATTCATTTATTGTAGGTATTTTTAAATTCTTTACATATCAAATGTTTCATAAGATCGTTCTCATTATGAATAGTATAAATATAAAATAAAACCTATGGTTAGTAGGTAATTAACAAATATTACGTATTCATATATGTATATATAATATTAACTGATTTTTACTGCAATTAAAAAACAAAATAAATCTTGTAATGATAGTTGTGTATACTCCCTATGACAAAATCTAGAAAATAACAAAATAAAGTTTCCAGTAATCCAATAGGACTAAGAAAAGTGTGAATAAATTCAAATGGGGCAAAGTAATATGATGTACGAAAACGAAGCAGTCTTGCCTCGGTCCCCGATTAAAGAAAAAATTAAGACAATAAGACTATGACTAATTCTAGGTACCTGCGCATAGTATACTCAACATGAGAACCAACCAATCTATTTGTGATTAGTAGGTACATCGTCACATCGATACAAAAAATGTATGTGGGTACCTAGGTAGGTATTTAATTTTAATAATAAATAAAATAAATTATTTTTATTCAAGTCTAAAACTATACATTGAGTCACATCCTCACTCAACAATAGGTCAAGTGGAATTCCACCATACTGTGGAATTGAATAATCTACTTAAATTAGCAGCAAATCTCACATATTTATATAATGTACATTAATATTAATATCTATTAACATAATTTATAAGTATGTATTATGTTTCACTCATAACCCTAATTATGAAAGATTATCTATGGACTTTAACTTAGATACATAAAATCATAGTACACAGCTAACACAGTGTACCTACAATAATAATTTACACATTGGTGTATGCGAATAATTAAATATGTACAGTAACATAACCAATATAATGTATGCGAAATATCATTAGGAAAATAGCTTTTGACAACGAACCATGCGTTGTATAAATTGTAATTAGTGTCAGGTTAAAAATAAGTGGATTATTTTGTCGACGTTTCTAGTTATGAGAAATTGTCTTTTTCCATACGTGCTGCACTATGGCGGCTTAAAATGCATCTAGAATGATAATGCGTCGGATCAAATGTAAAACAATGGTTTGACGTAACGTCGGGCAAACTATTTTATTAGTTCCATGGCACGTGGCAAATATTAATCCAATGTTAATCTGGCTTCGTTATGAACTACACATTATATTCGTAATTAATGCAAAAATAATTTAATGGTAAATCGATGCAATGAATAAATCTTGAATATTTTTGACAAATTTCCATGATCCCCGGACCCCAAATGTATTTATAGGTAATGTTATCTGAGATTTGGCAACAACGTCGCTTATTAATAAAATATAAAGAATTAAAAATTTCTGTACAGAGAAATAAATTATAGAACTGATTAATTTTATTTTATTTTTAATTAGATACTTAATTTAACAATCGAACCGTCGTGTTCTTAGTTATTTGCAAAAAAAATTGGTAGTATAAATATTTATTAATAAATAATAACATTGTAATGTAGGTATTGTATAAAAATGCATGGATTTTAGATTTTTAAATTACGACATTTTGGTAAACATTTGCCAATATAAGAGTTGACTAGAATAAATATACCTATACCTATCACATTGTCTTATAGAAATTTAGATAAAACACATGAGATACTAATAATTAAAAACTGCAGACTGCAGTATATCTCCGATTTACAATTGGTTAATAATTTGTCAAACGACTATAACTACCTATACCTACACTGTTCGAATTAAGGCAACATGAATTTCATACAAATTAATTTTAAGGATACGCGAAATTAGATTATGATAATTTACAATAAAATATAGGCATCACATGCTAGGGCCATAGATACCCATAACCAAAATTATCCATAATAAATTCATTATTAAGACATTATTTATTTATTATTTAATACTTTTTGTTGGTAAATTATTAATTATGTACAATCATTCTTTTAAAAATCCCCACACCTCCTTTAATTTAAATCCTAGTAACATGACAAGTTTTAAAAATAATATTTATACCAAAATCAAATCTAGTACCTACCCTAAGTATCTATGTAATTTATAAAGCTCATACGTATACTGTTTTATATATTAGTATGAACCTAACCGGTTACCCATAAATTTTAGTTTTTCATCAGTAGGTACTTCAGCTGTTTAATATACTTTATTGTGAAATCGCCATGAATATGATTTATGTATTCGTTTTATAATTTTATTATATTTTAACATAATATATAGGTTAATTGAATTAAACTATTCAACTATTCAAGCCTTCAAGATTTTATGCTCGTAATTTTTTTTTTTTACTTATAATCGCATTAACAACATTTTTTTTCTTATATTTAATAGTTTCAACTTCCAAATAGTCTCCTATAGTGTTGGTTTGTAGACTATCAAATATTTCTGAATATATTTATGTACATCATTTTAATATCGCAAATTGGATTATTATTAGAATTTTATATTAATTTATTTTTAGAGTATTTATTATAATAAATGTATCACAATCGTCCAAAATGTAAAATAATATAATACATTACTCTAATAAATAATATTAAAATAAATGCAAATCAAAATTGTCAGTGTTGATTCTAAATAAAATATTGTTAAATTAAATTGCATAAATATATATTATAACTTTGTGAATGAATATTAATACTGAATTATATTAATTACTATTTCATATTAATAAAATATGTTTATTTTTTTTATTCTCTTAAATGATATTTTAAGTGCCATTCATAAAAAACATACTCAAATCTTGAATGGATGATAAAAAGCAAAAAGAATCCAACTAAAACCAAATACGTAATCAAATTATTTGAACAAAATGTTTTACTCTGAAAAGAATTATGCAAATTTAAAATTTGGTTAGTTAATCAACAGATGATTAAATTTACATAATATTATTCGAATAACTAAAGTATACAAATTAAACTTAAAAATAAAAATACATATGTTTATCTACATTATTATTCAGTTGTATATTGTAAGTTCTAAACAATAAAGTATTCGAAAATATTGTAATTATAGCCAAATATGTTTGATAAGGAAACCATTAAATAATTTTTATGCATACAATTCTTTAGCAGTTATACAATAAAGAACTTTGTAAACAAATAGCTAACTCTATTGTACGACTCTGATAATTTATACAACTCACCAAATTAAAAAAAGTTAATATAGGTATATTAATATTAGTATAGATACTCTTTGAAATTTCCTAAGCTCTACTAATTTCCATATTATAATAAATTACTTCACAAAATATTACGTACAATGTTGATTAATAATTATGAAAGGTATATTAAATTTGATAACAGTAAAGTATTGTTTTCACTTTACGAGAAATGCGTCTTGTCACTCTATTCAAATTATTCAAATTTCCTTTGAGGCGCCAAGCTTAAAATAAAACGGTCCATCGCACAAATTAACAATCATCGATCGAAATCTTTCATTAGCATGGGAATCGCAAACGGTTCAAACGAAATTCAAATCGTCTGTTCAATTTGTCTGTGATTGAACGTCATTAACCTGGGGATAAAACGTCGTATCCAACCTACACGCAATTAATTTTTAATATTTTAATTACAAACGCATTGAATAACAATATTAATGTCGATTCTAAAACTAAAATACTTCTTAGACACGTTCCACACATGATTACGTGAACAGCTCATAACAGACAAAATTCTGTGACTAGCAATAACGTCATTAAAGCGGTTCGTCTATTGTAATTCCGTATGTATCCTACCTTCTCATTAAACTTTCAAAATATATACACTTATGACTAATACATTACCTAGATATACTTTGGTTAATATTTTGTATTGTATGACTGTTTTATATTTTCAACGTTAAATAAAAGTCAGTTAATAAAATTACACCTTTCAGTGATTTTTCATGTCAATATTTTGCCTTTTACTAAACACTCAAATATGATAACTAAACACTTACTATACTATTAAATATAAAATATATCAAAGCTGTTAAACGTTTGGAGCTATAATAGTTGGAGACAATTTTAACATCGGTATTTTATTAATATATTAATATCTTATATTTTAGAAAAACATTTTAATGTTTGATAAATTAGTACAAATTAAAATAAAAATATGTACAAAATATACAACACGTATTGTTACCTATCTACAGTAGGTGTAAGTTGAAAAGTAAAAATTAATTTTATGTGAAAAAAATATTTTAGAACTTTTTTTTCAATCACATTTATATTTGAAAATTGTCATACATAGGTATTACTGGCTTTTACAAATAACTATATTTATTAATAAATATTGTCAATAAAGTATTTACAGACCTTATATACATATTAAGAAAATTATGATATCAGAATTATTTTTACCTTAAGTCATGTAGCCTGTGAATGATTGAGTAATAAACTAATAACTAAATCTAAAAAAAAAAATTAAATCATTGAAATGAAATGTGTACAGGCAAATAACTTGTAGTGTAAAATTGCACTAGTACTCCTCTGTACAAAACCATTACTTTTATAATTTGCACAGCATCTGACTATTTGATATTTAAGAAAATGTTACTTTACTACTCAATTTATACATATGAAAAATACACTAAATAATATTCGTTAGTACAAAGTACAAATAGTATTTTATACTAATATTAACTTATGGAATAGTCACATATTGTTCAAGCTATTTGTATAAATTATTAAAAAATGGCAAGTCATATTAAAATTATTCGGAACAACGTTTGGCTTCATACCATATATTTAAAAAGTTACGTTTCCAGCTGTAATGTCACGTTAATTGGTGCGGTATGTACCTAAGACCAAACAGAAACTTCGGGAACATCTCAGTTATTTGTTTTTGTTTCACTCGACAGGCCCTACACACAATGTAACACGACAACACTCGAAATTGAATTTCAACTGTTTCCTACCACACCTCACGTCAGTCAGCCGCCAAACCTGTCTGCAAAGCTCTTGTCATGTATTATTGTTGTACGAACGTCCCTCAACGCCAGTCTAATTAGACGATTTTAAGTTACATTTTTTAGCTAAAGTCGCCAATAGCTAAGCACCAAGCAGTGGTGCTTTTTTTGTTGTTAAATTGATTAACATTCTCGTTATTGTCAAACAAACTTCACTCAACCCAATTGCATGGTTATTTAAAGACAGAAAATTAATTTCAACAAATGTTCACTCAATTTTCGTGACGTGCCGGAGTAATTTAGTTTAATATAGGTATAAAGCAATCATTTAAACAATAAAACGTCGATATTTAAAAATATATTAACTCTGAAAATTCTAACAATTTGTGTTAAGCCTTATTTTTTTCACCCTTATGAGTTTATTGGAGAAACCACTATTAACTTTTTATTATTAAATAGCAACTTTTATATATTTTTTTTAATTTAAAAATCTGTACCATAGTCTGAATATTTTATGAACTTTTAACATAAAAATGTTGCATATCGAAGTAATAACAAATTTTTTGCTATAATTATTTAAGGTTATTATTTGAGGAGTGAAGTAGCAAGTACACTTCTGGTGTATTATTATTATTATTATTACTCATTTCAACTTTAAACGCTAATGAATAAAAATATATCTGTTCAATTCTTGAAATATTTGTACATAAACATTTTTATAAGAATATTTTAGTATGGGTATAAAATTAAAAATATGGAATAACCATTTCTAAAAATTTAATATTTCCAAATGAATGCGTGATTAATTTTAAAGACTCTGTTCAGGCTCTCCTATCGTAAAGTTATTAAATTCATCTATTATCAATATTCAAAATACTTTCTATTATAAATGTTATAGCTGTATATATAAGTAGTTATCAATATTTGAAATGACATACTTTAAACGTACTATGTTTAAATGAGTAACATTTACAAACAATAATGCATAACTTTATACAGTTTTGCAATAAAATGTCTGTTTAAATCCCAGTAGCATTTTATACCTATTTAAAATTCGCTTGAGTACATGATTAAATAATTGTGTTTTATTTTTATACCTACAATCATTAAAAAGGTCTCTATAGAAAATTGTTTGGAATTTTACAATGTACCAAACAATAACAGAAATATTAAAAACCTACCATAAAATAATTTAAACTTTATTACTTTGAAATGACTCGTATTTTCAACATACATTAAAATTTATAATATACCGTCAATCATCTCAAAACCAATTTGTACAGCATTTTGTCCCGTGGTGTTTGGTTGTAATTTATAGTGATGAATAATGGAAATTTTTTAGATTATGATACCCACTAGTCACAACTTGAAAGGTATCCAAACACCGTAATACAGCTTTTCTCACTTTTTTACGCATTCATAAATTTTGTTTTGTATGCTACAAACACCATCGTGAAATATACTTATGTTAGACTAGTGATTATTTCCACCAAGTTAACATACATGAATTGCTAAATTTAGAATTCAACATTCAATTTTGATCATTTATAATCAATAGATATTAAATATATACAATAAAAAATACTAAATTTATGTAATCTACTATTTAAAAAATTTTTTTGTTAATATAGTTAATAGGTATAACAAATTAATTGATCCCGCGCCCTTAGTTTCCCATAAAAATGACAACCCTTAAAAAAAATTGTGATTGGTCAACTTCGTTTGGATGTAACTCACTGCATTTAGCATTCTCGGCCACCTTGTACGAAAATTCGATTTGATAAATGCTTACATGACAAACAATATAAAAAAAAAGAGTAATTACTACTAATTATTTATCTTATAACCAATAGCTACCACGGGTAAGCAAAAATGTCTCAAAATCCCTGTTTGGTCACTTTCCCGGCTTGGACCTAGTGGGTCCAATTGTGAATCAAAATCATCAACCACAAACAAAAATTTCATCGAAATCGGCCCATTTCTTACTTTTGAACTACAAATAAATAATTATAATCCTTAGAGCTAAATACGTTAATTCTCATTTAAATATCCGAAATTTGAACTTTTAATGCTTTTAAAAAATATATTCCTATATTTTCAGATATTTTTAAATTTCTTTAACAAAAACTTATAAGGAACCTTGGATTAAATTTGCAAGCATTTTGACCAAAACAAATTAAGAAGCCCTAAAAGTGATAAATAAATATTAATTTATTGTGTTTAAGTGATTTTTAATTTGTATTAAAGTATGAGTAACTAACATTTCTTATACCGAAGTTTGAAGGCACAAATAGCCTACACAGAAGTCTCCACATTGTAGTAAAATATTAAACGTAAGGTCTGGTGCTAACCTAAATTTTTAGGAGTCTTATGTAAATTTTTTACGCGGACTAACTACTAAGTCCCTCCTCGATTTCCACTTAAGCAAAATAGACATATATAATATATTATGTATGACTATAAAAACGTAATAACATAATGATCCATTTATTTTTTCAAAATAATTTTTTTAAGTATTTTGCTTCAACTAGAAGTTGCAATAATTTCGTAGAAAAAATATATTTTGCTATAAACATTTTAATCAATATTATTTCAATCATCCAACCCCAATATTTAATTTAGTAGGTACATGTGACGGTGATTAAAATTGAAAAATAAATTATGTACATAACTAAACAATGAGTACATACTACAAATGTGTAACCAAAACAAGTGTAAATGTTGAACATTTTTCTGTCCACAGGAAGACCAGACGTAGCGGTCATTACCAGCTCGAAACAAAGCCGTTCGAAAAATTCGTACGAAATGTTATGGACAGTGAAAAGTTACAGCCCGATTATAGAATACAAATTGCTATACCGTCAGGATAAGACAAATAAGAGCAACCAAGAAATCCAGTATAAACGTCCCATGAGAAGAGTAAGTATAACAATATAATATCGTTTTAATCGGTTACGTCAATGACTACGGGTCCTACAAATAATTGTAATAACACCAACTCTAGCTATAGTGATGTACAGGCCAAATTAGTTACGAGCAATTTAACAGGTAAAATAAAAAACAGACAAACAAACTAACAATGCACATAATTACAACTTTTCTTCTCGGCCTAAGGTTCGCGATAATAACTAATAAGTGCCAGTACAAAAATATTATAATTGTATACATATTTATGTAAGTACAGATAAAGATAAATATATGTTACTTAGATTTATATAAGTATAATCTCACTTGTATCTAGATAATTATATAAGTTAGAAAAGATAAAAACAATTTTTTTTTAATCATTTAAATAATATATTTCAATAAAGTATTAGTATGAAAATAAATATTTCAAACCTGGAAAGAAATATAAGTTAAATCTTTTAAGCTATTCCAATGCAAATTTGAAATTAAATTAACCTACTTTAATTTACTTACTTTTTATCTTCAATTCAATTTAAATGTTCATGTCCTAAAATCAAAAAAATACTTTTTTGAAACCTAAATAGTAAATACTTTAATTCTTAAAAATTATTTTAATCATCCAAAATTGCAAAAAAAATGAATCTGGAAAATCTATCATAATCAGTATAATAATAAATCAAGTAATTATTCAAAGAGAATTACAAGATTTTTAAGAATCTTTAATTTTAGATTCTGAGCGGAGAGAGGAAGCTAGTGGTTTTACAATAGTGTTTATTTTTTTTTATATCCTTTATACAAAAGTTCTACCAGAAAGACTTCTTTGATTTCAATATATAGTACCTTATCTTTTTGAAAATTGGATCATGATGGTATTTTAGAGAGGTCATTTTTCGATTTTTCTCAATAGTTATTTAATGCCACGGGAAAAACTACCAACAAATTACGAAAAACCACCAAAAATGGAGTTTTAATTTCTAAGGATTTGTTTATCACCATAACAAAGAATGAAAAATAATAATATTATAATATTAATTCAACATACAGACTATAATAAATAATAACAATATAAAATATCCAGACTTACAAACCGTATCTTTGCTCAGAATCGTTTTTCTTATACAATGATATTATATCATTGAATTCAAGTTTAATACAATTCATTATACATTGACCCACTTGTAAGTTGTAACCTACTGTACAGCAGAGCAATATCAACTTCCCCGCTTTTTATAATTATGAACAAAATCAAAACTAGAATTTGATAAAATCGTAATTTTACCGTTTTTGATTTATAATTCATTTTGTATAGTTGTCCTTCGGCTTTTAACCAAAAGTCCAAAATAAGTATCAAAAGTTCTAACTAAATAAATGTGTATAAGCATGTACCCTTATTGATTTTATAAAGTCTTCTGATAGAAGAATGTTGATGAAAAAATGTATTTTACTCATGAGATAAATTAATATATTACTGAGGACAATATAATTCAATTTATTTAGATAAGAAAATGTTTTACCTACGATAACTGGCACAATAGTTATCTATCGAAATAAGTATCAACATAATATGAACATTCTAAATACAATATTTAATTTTATCATTATTTAATCTAGACGTTATTGCATATAAATGTCATTTTTAATATTTCCATCGAATATTTGATGGATTTTATGAAATTTGATAATCACCTATATAACAATACCTATTTCAATATAAAAACTTTATTTTACATAAAAACTTATAAAAAATTATTTTATTTTATTAATGTAATATTATATATTATATATTTGTTATAATAAACATTTATTTTTGCACAATTTGAAATTTTTCAAGCCGTTTTCATAACTAACATGAATTTATTTTAAGTGACTTTGAATTTTTGTTGCCTATATGCAAATTTTTAGTGCAAAAGTACATTTTTGTTTCATGGTTTAAATAGATTATCAAAATATAAAAATATCAACTTACAAATCATGACAGAAATCAAGATCTGACTGCAATAAATTAATTGCAATGTTCGTAAACCAGAAAGCTCTATTCGTCGAAATTCTTTCGAAAAACAACCAATGATTACTTCCAGGATTGAATGGAGAGATCCTCCTATGGTTAATTATACTCAAGCTAGTCAAACACAAAATAATTAAACAATTTATGAACAAATTTTAGGTTAATAAATGTCACCGTTCGTGCTAGAGGGATTATATATATATATAGAAATATTCAAATATCACAACATCATTAGTTAACAACAATAACAATAACAAAAACACGAGTATAATTGTTGTAATTATCCAAGTTATCGACTACTACCGGCATAATTACGTACATTTTATAAAATAAACAATTCGGCATTTACTAATAAATAATAAGTGATAGACAAACTAAAAACCTAAATATTTATTTGTGTTTGTACGAAATTAAAACATAATTCATACTAATATGTACATAAAAGGAATAAGTGTTCAAGATTTGTACTAAAGCTTATAACAAACTCATGAAAATTTTATTCGCGTTCGTTTGATATTCTCGACTTTCCAAAACTTTAACAGTATAAGGTACGTAAAAATTGAAATGCATTTAGAATCTTTAATAAATTAACAGTATTACAGGAAAAACATTTCCGAACTAATATTACTTTTTAATACTGAAGTACTACTGCTGAGCTCTTAATGGTATATTTTGATCAAAAAGGTAAGTTTTCTGCAGTAAGCGCATGTACCTATCATGGTATAATGCATTAACAATATGCATAATATTATAATGTCTTATATATAAGAAGCTCGAGGTGAAATCTAAACGTATACCTACTGAAAAATGATGGTTATAGTTTGCCGAGTGAGACTCAATACGATCACATTGTTTCGTCAATCCAAATCGATATGATATTATATTAGGTATTTACATTATTATTATTATTATGTTGTATTGGAAACATGTTTCGACGAACAAACATAATCGCGCAGTCCGCAGTCCACCACCACCGCCACCAAACACTCTTAAAAATTATTGCAACGGCTGCTACAGTTACACATTAATTTCGATTAATATAAGCACCGAAAAAACGTATATGCGTTCCGTCTGTCTATATCGGTCCCCAAAGACTTTACGCGCAAATGGCTCTAATAAAAAGCGGAAAATATGTTGCTCGCAGAGTGGTATTAATTGGGGAGTTCCGGCTGACAAATTTATGAACTTGTATTATCATGGAAGCCGTAAATGTAGACACAGCTATAAACCGATTTGAAAATTGCAAATCCCTGCGCCCAGGCTTTTACGTTTTATGACATTTGGGCAATTCGAAATTAACGCATAATATGAACGCTCGCCCCCGGAGTAGATTTTATTCCCACCGCCGCCGAGTGCAGCAGTATATATATATACCGCACCGTTCTTGGGGTCGGCGGGACGCGCTGTTAATTGAACCATTTTATTTAAGCAAAATATCGCATATATAATATATATACGCAACACATATGCATATGGCGGGGTATATCGTCCGCAATAATAATTACTATATCGCCGGCTCGAGTATACGTATAACGCATAGACTCAAATGCGTATAATGTGTACGCGCAAAGAGTTCGGGAAGAGAATCTCTTTATGTTTATTTATTATTTTTTTTCTTTTATATATAATATATATACCTCGAAACGACAGTCTACATAATATGTGTATGTGGTATACACACCCCAGCTATTATTGCCATATATACATACTCGTTTGTAGACTATAAAAAGACGAATGGCCGAGTGTGGCGACGGAGGTGCGGACCTATTGAAATGTAATGTTTGCAGGCGCCACCGAAGTCTCATAAAAATCCACTGAAACGATAAAGACACTCGCACTGCATCGGCTATACACCCTCAGTGTAGTTCGTCGATGTATGGATTATTTTTACGTCTTTGCCACTAAAATATCAGTCGATCCCCGCGACACGTTAAACCTATATACTCTTCTCGCGGTAACCCGGTGTTTATCTTTTGCACGTTGTCCGACCTTATTGAGTCAAAAGCTCAAAACATTTATCCACTGTTCATCACGTCCAAACCTATTCCTACTTGGCGAAACGTTCAAATACATCTTCATTTTAACCGTAAGAGTATTAAATCGGTTTAATCACACGATTGAAAATGCATGTGTCTTATAATAATTGGATAATGTTACCCAACTGTTACAATTATTTTTGTTCATCAAATGTTTGTAAATGACTATTAAAATGTAGGTATGAATTAATATTATAATTTATAAATATTTTTTCAATCGTTTCAGAAGACTATCAAATTAAATTTCCAAATGGCATTCACTTTTCATTTTAATCATCAAATTAAATTTCAATTTCAGTAAAATATACAATATATTATTTAATGTTTGGATTCAGTTTTTTGAATAAATCTCGTTTATAAAGATTGTGGCTTTTGGAATTTTTAATTATGTAGGTAATTACCATATCGAACTTTAAGACAATAATAAGTTCTATTTAAATATGAAATTTTACAATCTCTAGTTAATCATTTTTAATCCATATTGTGTAAGACAATAAATATACAAATATAATTAAATTTACTAATTAAGGGATCAGTTTTATAATTTTACAAGGTATAATTTGTGTAAACCAAGTAACTCTTATAAAATTTTCGTAATTTTATAACGTATCAATGCGCTTTCGATATAATCATTGAATCGTTTTAAACATATACCTGGCAGATTACATCAATGAAATTTGCTAAAGAAGGAAATTGGGAATTTATCGTGTCGATTAAATTTCTTGCAGTGACCTAACTTGGGCTGTACTTTTAACCAAGATTTCGAATGTTATATGTGCGAAGGGACAACGAAGGCTGGAGCTTTAGTTATGGAGCGTGAAATTGCTGACTGTTAGTGTATATTATATAGATTATAGGTACCATAAAATATTGGGTATTATACTAGTTGGTTTTTATTTTTATCGGTATCCCTATATAATTATTATAAACCATAGACTATTGATATTCTATAAAGTGAAACTTCCGTTAACGGTCACCTCTAAAAAGCGGTCGCATCAAAATAATATTAACTTTTTTCTACTTCCCATTGTCCTGTCGAGTATTATGAGTACATATAATATATACACATATACACGTATTCAAAGGTTAAAATCATGCACTAGAAAATAATAGCCATCGTATTCTTAAAATCGTATAATATTCTTATAATCATACGTTGTTGTTAAGAACATCGTATAATATATACTACTTTAAAAATCTCCACAGAGTATTTTTTGTCTTCCGGTGCATTATGCAGCAAACCTAATGGTTTTTATACAAGTATTGGTTACAAACATAAACTACAATATTCATTTTAACACTGTGCCGCTATAATATAACCATCGAGACGTATTTTTCAACTTTTTATAATAACGAGAAAGAATAATTCAATTTATCGTTACAGAACTGTGTACGCGTATTATACAGACTACGCCGAGTAGCATCATAAAAATAATTAGCGTTTTTCTAGTAACATAATCGCAGCGAGATTTTTTTTTTATTTTCAAAAACACTAAGACTCAAATAATTTACAATTTGTATACACGGCTATATTGTTTTTGTTTCATGGCATAAATAATAATACAAAACATAATGCACTGTTACGAGTTATCTGGTGTAATAAGAGTATAAAATACAATTTAAAACAAAAAAATATGAATTGTCGGGCTATGATTTACTAAGATTTCTGCAGTACTTCATCGTTTTTATCTAAATACAAGTTTATGTATACAATGTATATAATTTTTTCTTGTTCAAAACAAATGTAATTCAACCCGACATCGATTCTTAATAGGTACCTACTATGTTTATTATATTTATCACTGAATCATAAGGACGAAGTAAACCATACACCACGTTATGTTCCATAAATTACGACCATTTAAGATAATGGGTACTTAGGTATACTGATTACCGAATACCTACCGTGTAAGAGAAAGTACGATTTACATAGGTATATTTTATTATACCGCGGTAAAATAAATACCTAATATTACGTACGTTTCCCCGTCTCTACGTAATAATATTGTAAAACACCTAAGTCCAATTGTGATTTTCATATTTCAGTGGAACGATGGTTGGATAGAACTGTTGCTTAACCCTGCATCCACCGATCAATTGGAAAAGAGCCGGACTGAAACCATCCGAGACTTGGACCCTGGCACCAAATACGAAGCAACCGTTCAATCCAGAAACCGCTATGGTTGGAGCGAAGTTTCCCAATCTTTCTTCTTCACCACCAGCACAAAGAACGGTACATTTTTGTTTTTCCTGTCAACCATGTTGATTAGAAACTCTTAGAGACTGTGCGTGTTCCGGCATTTATGTCGATTCCAAAATCCTCAAAAGTCAATACATACATTTAATATTTATATATTAATCACCTCTAGTTAATTAATTATTTCTTTTACACCTAAACCTCGTGACTTCGATGTCCGACACTCACCATTGACAACACACAAACACGTTTGATCTAGAAATAAATGAAGATATACAATTCCATATTTCCATTTGATTACTGAACACTGAAATGTTGTTATTATATTACATATATCATAATTTGTGTAATATAAATACAAAACCCATCCCCAGTAATACTTTAATTGATTCGTAAGAGCGTTTGTGTTGATCTTAAACTTAATTTACCCTCGAGCATTTTAAATAACAGTATTCAATGTATTAGGTACTAACATATTGTATTATTATTTCATATGTACTTGTATAAATTCCAAGTATGCACTAATTATCCTTAAATTAATATAAACGTGATTAATAAAGCAATAGAAACAAACTAAGATTATGCTTAGTTCAGTGTTATAGACTTATAGTTACTAAAAAAAAATTTCTTGAAACCTTATATCGTTTTGGTATACAATAAAGTAAACTAATTTTTAATTGTATAAGTTTCCTTAGCTTGCCTCTTCCATCTTAGCTTATTCTTGTTTTCGTTAATTTTATTACATTTCATAATTAGTTAGTTTTTAATAACGTAATGTATTTATATAATCAAGCAAGTAAAATAATATGATAAGAGAGCTAAAACATTTTTCTATTTTCATTTTAGACTTTTCTATGTTTCTTATGAATTATTATATTTCGTATTTATATATATTTATTATTATTATTATTGTTTAGTCGTTTTTATATTATAATACTCGGTAATGAATGTTGCACCTTAATGAATACTGTTTGACTATTAAGTGTATTGTATTGTATAATTTATCTATCAAGAATATTTCTATTAACATGGAATGATGATGATACTACTGTCTTTAATTATAATACTGTTAATTAAAATGTATATTTGTATTCTATTCGCAGAAGCACACCCAGGCAATTCAGTTCTTTCAGGTTAGTATTTCTGTGTTTATTTTATTTCTTGATGAAATTAATTTTAAATATAATTGTAATACCTAACTGTTTTGTTTAAAATCAGACCCAGAATTGAGAGACATGAGCATCACCGCTATTAACAACAAGGCGGCTCCTAAGACCATCCAGACTCCATTGCTTTGCATCATGGCCATGGTCACCTACTATCTTGCTTAAATTCCAGAAAAGGTAATTTATTGCATAATATTACATTACAGTACTAGGATAAACAAACTAATGTTTATTAAATATTAGCCATTATTTTATGAGTGTAACGTTTTTTCGTCATTTTTAATTATTTTCACACACAGATTTAGTTGACCCTTCAGTAATTAATATGTAACTAATTTATATAATGTATATAATTTATAAAAACAACAAAGTACAAGATAATAATTTGATGGCTAATCACACACATTTGTTCAGTACATATACAATATACATATTACATATATATGCATTTTTCACAAACCACATTTAAAATATTTATTTTATATGCAATATTAATTATTAAAACAATATAATTTAAAAACAATTCAACTTCTTGTGAACAATATACAATAAAACAAAATACTTAAATATTAGAAAATGCATTTTACAAATACATGCGTTTAATTAACGAAATTACCGTTGTATAAAAGCTACAATAGTTGTAGATAAGTCTGAACTCTCAATTGTTTATAATTTATATTTTCTATTCTATGATTTCAGTACCATACGTCCCTACCTACGCCCTCCATATGATTTCACTGATACCTACACACCTTCTTCACCGCAACCCATCATCGGAACATGGACCACATCGAAAATGCTTCTTCGCTATACCATAGACCGTCCACTTCAAGACACCGCGCACTACATTATAAATACTTCGCGTAGTTATAGTAACAATATTCGGAACTGGCATGGTGTAGATACTACTGGCAGATTTATATTGTTCTCAATCCGTATGCACATGACTTATTAAAGTTTAAAATAATAATTATAATAATTCTACCGCCACCATTGTAATTTACACGTCGTGTCTATTACACTCCAATAATACGACAGATGTAGTTCCAAGTACTGTTTTAAATGTTCCCTCTCAGGTAATTCATTTATGCTTACCCGCCCAAAAGAACCAATCGAATGTTGTTCATCTATTATGAGTCGGTGTGCAACTTCGACTCTCTGCAGGTTGATTAATATCTTGGCAAGGTTCCTGCGCCTTCCGCGCGCCTGCAACTTCATTTAAATATTTGATAGATTTATAAACGGAACAATACTGATTCTTAAATTCATCCACTCGCCATTACAAAAACCTTGTAATTACCTACCCCCCCCCCCCAGGTCCATGTACGATTTTATTTTTACTTGTCCATAAAGGTACTATTTTTTACCTAAATCACTTTAGTTTCGTCACTTATGTTTTTCTTTTCATAATTTTTATTCTGACCATGACCAAAACCCTGAGCCAATGAAACTCAAATCACGCTAAAGACTGTCTTCTTTAAATCCTTCACTCGGTGTTGTCCTAAAATGTATCTTTACAATAACGATCAATACAACAATATGATCATCGTACACCGATGAACATCGACACAGTTTTCTACAAACGCACTATCATGAGTTTAGTAGATGTACGATAAACCACAGAGACCAGCATAATACCGGGACGATAAAATGTCTATGAAAAAACAATTCAAAATAAAATAGCGACATCGTATACATTAATATGTACAAGGATCACTAGGCGCCTATTTATAAACTGTACAAGAATCTTGCGTTTCAAAATGGTTATTACTACAGCTATTAAATAATGGACAATTTTAATTAATTATAACAATACAATGTATATTACACTACGCCATCAGTGACAAATATTAAATATGCTTTTGAACGACGTTCCTAAATAATTTTGTGTGAGCAGATTCCGGCAGCTAGCTCCCCATGAAACAATATTATTTTGATCGAGAAATGACAAGTAAAATTCAAAATTTATATACTCACAAATTAATTAAAGCTAAAAACCAATCATAGTGCATTACGCTACAAATATTAATAGGTACATAAACTAATAATTTAAGGTCTGTCAGAAAATAACTTGCAAAATATTAAACCGGTTCCTTTAAATTCCAAAAATTCTCAGTCTACACATTTATTGTTGTAATATTATATTTGTAATTATTACAATAATGATAATTTAAATACAACCGTATACAGCTGCTTATATACGTGCAATGGATAGCTACTTATTTTTCAATAAGTTAATAAAATCAGTAAATTGGTTTTAATTTTTACACATCTCAGATATCAGTATATCACGTTTGAAATAACCAAATGGCCGTGTTAAACATTCTGTGCTTCGATTAAGTAATATTGTTTCAACATGAATATCTATTATACCTATAGAAAAACTACAATAATATTTTAGTTATATTCCAAGTGGCACTACTGTCTTTCAATGGTTTAACCTAATAAAAATTAATTCTTAATAAACTCATCTTATGCCGTTGTTATACACTTTCTTGATTGTATTTCATAAATAAAATTACATCCCAAATTCCAAAATAATCATAAATTTTGTTTTCCATCGCATTCACTAGATAATATTGTACAATTAATAAAATTATGTTGGATGTGAGCACCTATAAAACCAAGCGTTATTAAAAAATACAGTTTTCTTATTAGGCGCTTAAGTGATGATATGCATAATATCAACAAAATGCGTAAAATTGTAACAACCATTGAATCATTGACCACCATTATTTTTGCGATTTAAAAACTTTAAGATCTTAGTATTTTATCCAAAATACAGATCGCGAATTTGTATACATAAAGACAAGCAAAACATGTCTTGTATTTATTACTACATTTCAAAAACATTAAACGATTTAAAATTAACATAAGTAATTTAAATTAAGCCATTATACTTAATTTGATGTTTAATTAAAATGTTAAGGTACCTTTTCAATTGTGTGAACGCCAAATAAAGTATTAAACTCTTCTGAACCATAAATGATAATTAGAAAGTGTGTAAATGGATATACATTTAGAACTTAAAATTTTGTTTAAACTTAATATTTTAAGTCATTAGGAGGTAAAGTATTTTATTAGTAGATTTTTATTATTATACATTTAATTTTAATGTTAATATATTTTGATTAGAGGTACAAATTGCCAACAATAAAAGTCGTTTGATTACGTTTATCAATACACTCATATGAAATAGCATTGAAAAATAAGTTAATCCAATTAATAAAGTACCTACTTTTAAGTGTCGTATGCTGTTAACAATGAAATTCCCATGAAAACCTAAAATTAAATTAAATATATTATATGTTCATAAATAAACGACAACCACCCATTTAAATATTTAAATTCTCCAACCGAATAAACAATAAAAACAATGCTAATAATCTATATTTGCATAGATATATTTCGAATAATGCGGTAAAAAATTCATTTCCTACGTAGTATTTCAATCAATATTGTAAAAATGTATTTGAAAAAAAAACATAATCAAAAAAAAATTTGTTTATTTAATGAACGTATAATATACGTTTAATATACGTATTGTATAATGCAAAAGTACCAGATTAAACAATATAGAGCATGATCTCCATAAACCATTAAAAATAATATTCAACATCTGATAAATAAAATTAAACTGCGACTTCTATAAATAATATTATATTAATAGTTGATAAGTGATTTATATATTTTAAGCTTTAGAATGAAAAAAAAAATTTGATTATTAATTTTAAAACATAATTTATTTGTCATATAATGCAAATCATTTTTTTCTGTCATACTATTTTAAATGTTTAAAAATTTATTACCTAAGCTATTTGTGAAATTTCATGTGTTAAAAGTTAGATAACATTATCGTTTGTATTAATTGTATTCTTAACAACTGTGTTTTTTAGCGTTTAATTCTTATTTATAATAGAATAGGTATAGTGATTATATTGTGTTATTATAAAAAGTTATTAATTATAATTTTAGTAATATGTGTTATAATATAATATATTATTATTAACCAAGACAAACAAAAAACGTGTCCGGAAAATATTTTGTTTGTATAAAACTAGAAATCGATTAGTATTACATAGAATGTTTTTAACTAAATTATATTATATAATATATATACATAATATCATATATTACTATGAACGATACCATCCCAGATATATATATATATATATATATAATATATTATTCCTAAACAACTTCAGTAAAAATGAAATGTCGGCTGCGTAGAATAAAATCTATCATTCTGAAGGCTGAAATCGATTTTAAAAGTACTTACCAACTAGATTTTTCCATGGTATATTTTTTCTTCACAGTACCTTTATATAAAGCTTATGTTATGTTTTATTTTTTCATACAAAAGTAGAGCCATCGGGATTTGAAACTGATTGAATTCTATTTAATTGGTACACGATAGTAATATTATCGAGGTGTGACTATCAAATATCAGTGATAGTTTTTCTAGAAAACGTTAACACCGTGCAGTTTTCTTCGCGATCAAATCGAACGCGCAGTCGGTGAACGGTGAACGGTGTCGACTATTATACCGAGCAGGTTTAAACCGCGATCAACCGCGTGGTACACGACAAACGCGTTCGTATCTATGTCTAAACAATTAAAGCCGGGTTCACTCTACGCCGTGTCGTGTAAAATAATCACAGTTACCTACCAAACGATACCGCGCAATATTTGAATACATTCAACTTTTGCGGTTACATTTATGTGCGGAAAAGTGATGATTAAAAAAAATTATATTATCTTATCACAATATTCATATCATTGGTATTGCATTTTGATGTAAACATAAAAGAAAAACAAAACGACACGACACGGTGTAATGTGAACCCGACTTTAAAGGCGAGTTTCCGCCGTTCGTTATACACGTCGCGTGCAGCTGCTGTGTCAGACAACGCGGTACCATGGTCAATCGCGTGGTAACCGTACCGGTAGGTAACCGCGACCAATCACAGCAAAGGATTATAGCGAACGTGTACTTCAGTGGAAACCCGCCTTTAAGGTACCTACGATGTTTGATGTCGAAAACTATTCGTACGATCTACACACGATTCGTGCAGCTTGCGAATACGGATATCAAATACTAAAATGTAGGTACGACAATACGGGAAACTCTGGCGACTTATCGATCATTTTCACGAGCGGTTGCC